CTTGCTCGGGGTGAACGTAGTCAAATCGGTTCATGAAATCCCGTTCAAAGGTTGGGAGGTCAACCCACACATAGGTACTAAACCAATGATGAGCGTCCCCCCCCAATCGGGCGGGAATGTTGAACTGCACTTCATTGTCAGTGTATTGTTGGGCTCTAAGTGTGGCCAGCCATGCTCCTGCGAGATGGTGTGCTGGATCGAACAAATAGAGATCAGGTGGCGTCATGGGAGCCCGTGCGCATGGGGCGGGTTGATTTGGTGGATTAGCATTCTGTTGCAGGATCGGGTTTTGCACATTGGCAGCCATACTGGCTGCTCGTCGGTTAGCCGATCTGCTTCGGGTGACGATAGGGTTGCGTCTATGCACGTTCCGAGGGCGAGGTCGCCCTCGGTTAGCCAGGTCGCCTAATTTGCGTGCTATCAATCCTAAGACCCTAGTCACGTGTTGGGCACCGATAACAACCTCACGCCCAGCGCGACTTCCTGATCGGAGTGGGATGTGGGCCTGGAAGTGCGAAAAAGAAGTGTGGCAAGGATTTTTCGGAAATTGGGGGAGTTCTAGGGGTATGAGTGCAATTAGGCAAATAAGGGGCGCGTGCGCAAGGGACTCAAGGCCCGATGGGGCCGGGGTACTGTGGGCGACGGTTTACAGGGAAGTTCCTCCGCGGCGGAGGCGGTCCTGAAAAATTGGGCCGTCGAGAGCCGCCACGTGGCGCAGGCGGCTGCGTGTTTGAGTTGGGCCTTCAAAATTTCGGGGTTCTCTGTTCGCCGCTGCGTCGGCAATTTCCACAGGCCGTGTTGGGCCAATAGGGGGCTATGGCCGGCCACGGAACGACGTTGAGTTGATGATACGGGAGAAGAAGGGGAAAAGGAGGGAAACAGGCGGTGATGACGACAAATCCCGGGTGGATGAAGTAGTAGGTATGGTCGGGGGAAGGGAAATCAGAGCACCGGGGGTTGCTAGAGGTGGCGCAATGGAATTTCCGCGAACAGAGTCGATTCTCCATGTGACAGGGGTATCGCAGCCTTAGAAGTTCGTTTATCCAAGGGGTGAAATAGTCCGGGTCGTAGGATGAGTCTGAGCTCGAAGATCATGTCATGGTATCATCGTATATGGGACAACTCTGGTCGGATTATAGTCACCGCGCACGAGCACTTGTTAGGACAGGCAAACTTAGTTGCGCCCCAGCGTGCTCGTACGGGATGACGGTTCCGCCGCGAATCCTTTTTGGGTGGGCGGGTCGACGCACGAGTAAGGACGCAACTCGGATCGCGTTTACACGTGTTCTCGCGGGGCGTTCGCGGGGCCAGACACCGGATCGTCTAATTGCTTCGTAAGTTTCGACTATGCAAGAGGCAATCATATCACAACCCAATCGTAAGACAAGCACAACGAGAACGAAATCGCTATCGGGACCAAGTTCTTATCTCATCTACAGCTGCATCAGAAGTAGGTAAAGATTCGACACAAACAAAAAGCAAGGACAAGGATTTTCAGCAAAAAGATAGACAAGCAAGCATAGCATCCATACATCCATACATCCGTACAGTCATACACATAATGCAATCGAAACGGACAGCGCAAAGATAAGTGTGAGCAAAAACCCAAGTCTAGATTCCAGAAAGTCGAGATGAAAATAAGAATGGACAAACCCCCCGGAGCCGCAATCAAAATGTATGCACACAGATGAAGAGGGGGAAAAGACAAAGAAACAGCAAATCCGCGTCCATCGACCTCAACTCTCTCCTCCTCTCTCTCCCTTCTCCGATGCAGACAGTCCGTCGTCACGCACCAACCCACGAAGTTGTCACCCCGCTTAGTCCTCCCGCACCCGTCGGATTCGCCCGTGCCCACAGTCCGTCGTGGCACACGTCAATCCCGCGCGTTCGGCACCAGCCCGTCGGGTCGCCCAACTCCTACTCTACTCACCTCTTACTTCGCTCGTGTGCCGACCCTTCCTGATCGCGCAACCCTGAGCTTCCAACAACGGGTTAAGAGACTGACTAATCGCGCAACCGAAATTTATAGTGTGCATGCATGCGTGAAGAACACGAAATTACCAGGACTTAGAGCGGGGATTAGAGAGGGAGCGCCTGCGTTCTGCATGATCGGGCCGTGGCGTGGGGGACGTAACCCTTCTCCACGCATCGATCCGAGCATGCAAGCCGAGGCCTACGAAAATTTCAGTAAAAGAAAGAGGGGGAGGGCGGAAGAGACGAAGTGCAAGAAGAAAGATACAGTTACAATGGCGCCCGCTCAAAATTACATTTACACACGCGATTAAGGGCGCCCACTAATCAGAGTACCGTTGCAGCCGCATGAAGAGGCGCATGGACAAAAGGCGCTGCGCGGCAGGAAAAATCCTAATTACTGAATTCCAGAAAGAAAGTCCAAAATTTCGAGAGTCATCGGGGCTCGATAAAATTCGAAAAAGACTCGAAAGAAAAATTCAAAAGAACGAAGCAATTTCCCGCGCGATGTCCGCGCCCAAAATAACGAAACCGAAACGAAAGAAACGACGTCAATATTTATTAATCGCGCGCGCGGTGGCGCGACAGACATCCCAGGACACACCTTGCTCCGAACCCAGTCATTTGACAAAAAGCGACGACAAAGGCGAAAAAGCAAGGGTACTAATGCAATGTTCCACCGATCCCGATCTCCTGTAATTGGCCCAACCTTCCCAGCTCAGGCCCCCTCGTTGCAACTGCACACAAAATCGCGCGTTACGGAAAGTGGTTCGTCACATATGTGACGCCCAGGGGGTTCCAATATTAGCAAGCTCCTGCTTGCTTGTTGACACGTGTCGATTTCTCTAATCGATCGACACGCGGAGCACTTCTCTCTTTGCCACTTCACGTTTGATTGCTTGTGGACGTGATCTAACGTGGCAACACTCCTCTTGTACTAGTTCCTCAGATTGGGCTCTCGACGATCCAAGGACGGGACATTTCTCGTGCCGTCGCCACGACACGCGTCCATTACCGTTGCATCAGTAATTGACAGGGAGGGGGAAAGGAAGTCGGTACATGGCGGCATGGCGGTGTGGAGGGTTTATGGGTAGCGGGGGCAGGAGCCTTTCCATTCCGGCTACGGTCTCCGAGAGCTCCTGATAACCAACAATGCGATGAAAACAGGGGAATCGATTGCCAGTGCGAGGGAGGGACGCGAGATAATCGGGGTAGAGGGTGGTGAGAGTTCGGAAGAGCGCCGCGCGGAAACGATCGCGGTCTTCGCATGCGGGGATGGTCCCCGTTATCATGCAATAAACCTCAATTATATTGTGGCCTCGCCACGCGGCACTGAAGAGAAAGATATGGAGGCAGAAGGTCGGGACGGCGCATCGGATGGAGGGGTGGGGATGCACTACCATAGCGAGGCGAGCAGCGTAGAAGTGGCAGAAGGTGTCGTGGGGAAACGGATTGGAGGGGAACGTGACAGGGGTGGTGAGCTGGCGGAGGGTGAGGAAGTCAAGGGGATGGCGAGAGAGTGATCGGGGACGAAGGCCGATCGCCCATATCAGTACGTTGGCGAACTGGGGGACGGGTTGGGGAGGAGGGGGATCGACTCCGTTGCTGCATTGATGGGGTCGGAGTCGTGGCCGCGAGGTCGCCATCTTCAGGTCGGGGCGGCTCCGGATCTCAGTTTGGGTCGTCGTGGATCTGCAGACTCGCCGCGCTTGCGAGCTCTAACTCCTTCTTCCGGGCCGCGATGTCTTCTCTTCTGCGGGCCACCTCGGGATCCTCATCCTCTGTTCCCGTGCGCAACGCTTCTTCCGGCACGGATTCCCACTCCGACCCAGCAGATTCTTCTTCGTGCTCCTCTTCTCCTTCCTTGTCTTCTTCTTCTTCTTCACTCTGTTCCCCCTCGCTATGCTCGCTATAGCTTCCTTCTTCGGGGGTTTCGTCTTCTTCCTCGAGCACTTCGTCGCTATCCCTGCCTTCTTCCAGCCCGTCTTCGTCTTCGTCACTCCCGGTGCTCTCTTCCTCCTCCTCTTCTTCTCGAATGGCCGCAAACTGCTCCACCGGAGGATGCCTAAAGAAGGCAGGATCGCAAACCGTCCGGGGATCCAAATATTGTTGCTGCGACGGCGGGATGCGCTCTGCGGCTCCCTCTACGCAAGCTGACCACTGAAGATAAGGTGTCAATGTGCGAGAAACTGGATGCTCGTCGTCTTGCGAGATCATGTCGAGAGGGAGATCGTCCGCCAGCTGCGCTACCGGGATTGTGAGCTCTTGCGTGATAAGTTCCTGATGACCGGGCCGCACTGTACCGAATAAAAACGCGAGAAGGTCTCCCTCCACGTTGGTGCGCCAAGCCTGGATAAACAGCAACTCTAGGCGCTCTATGTAAGGCGGGTGCGCTCCATCCTCGATCCACGTCAGCTGTACCTCAACCAAGCACAGTGAAAGCTCGATGAAGTCCTCACGCCACAAGACCCAATGGGGAGGATGGAGAAGGGGGACAACAAGGGGCTTTAGACAATAGGAAAGGCGAGGATGGACCTCCATTTTCAGCTCCTGACTAATGGGACCAAAACTGAAATTAGGGTTTTCTTATAAATTGACCTGAAAAATGGGGGGTCGGTTAACCTTCTCTCCCAGAAGGTGGGGAGAGATAAAAAATGGAGATCGGAGAGAGACTCATTGGGGACGTGGGAAGGGAACGAGGACAGGGAGATCTGTCGGCGGCTCGCGCTAATACATCCGAAGGTCGTCGTATTCGATCGCTCGTGTCGTTGCGACTGTATCTCCGGGACGAGCCAGAAGCAGGGTCCACTCGGCGACCAGGTCGTTTGCCCACACGCGCAGCGATACCTTCACAGCTGAATGCCGTAAGGGAAGGAGCGTGGAGAGATCGCCCCGAAAGTTGATGACGGCCGATATGCGGCTGACCCCTGGCACCGCTCGCTAATGGACTGCTACGGCTTCGGCCAGTACCACCGCGTCAGGCCGGCCTTCGATTCTGAACACCGTCGCTGCGTACACGCCTTCCGTGCAGAAGAAGTGCGCAAGCCGCCGAAGATCTGGACTGAGGCAGGGATGATGGACCTGCCGGATCGTCAATCGATCAAGGGGCGCAAGCGCTGCTTCGCTGAGGGCTCTTTCCTCCAGAAAACTCATGGCGATGGCGACGGTGAGGCGAAACTTCTGTCCGTAGAGATACGGATGGAAGTGTTGGATTCCCCAAACTACCGCATAACACTCGCCTTGAGGTGCGGAGTCATTTTGGCATTCGTTTGGCACTGTGCGTGACGCGTATTCGATGACATGTTCACGACCATCGTTCACCTTCTGCGCTAGAATAGCGGAGATAGCTTCCGGTTGCCAGTCCGTGATGAGAATGATTTGCTTCGAGGGGTCCGGCCGAATCAAAATAGGGGCCGTCGCCAGAGCGTCCTTGAGGGTTGCAAAGGCCTGCAGGCACTCCGCGTCTCAACTGAGAGGCTGGTCCTTCCGTAGTAGGTTCGTTAATGGTCGCGCAACCGCGGCAAAGCCCTAGTTAGCGCCGATAGTACGACGCCAACCCCAAGAAGGCTCGAACCTGCGTCAGTGACGTGGGAACCGGGGCTTCCTTCACCGCCGTAACTTTTCTCGAGTCCGGTTGCAATCCTCCACGTGTCACGTCGTAGCCCAAGAACGAAATTTTCGAAAGGAAAAATTTGCTCTTGTCGAGCGCAATCTTGAACCCAGCGTCTCTGAACGCGCCCAATGTCCATTCGATATGTTGCGCSTGCCCGTGATAGGTTTCCGAATAGACCAGGATRTCRTCCATGTACACGATCACGCARAAGTTAATCATYCCTTGCGTCAGCCGTGTCTTGTTGACGAARTTCTGGAACGTCATGTTCATCGCTCGTTGAAACGTGATAGGTGCATTGCAAATCCCCATCAGACACCGAACCCACTATCACGTGCTCTCAAACAACACAAAGGMCRTCTTCGGCCGATCTTCCTCTTTAACCAGAATATGATGGAAGYCATGYCGAATATCAAACTTGCTGAAATAATTAGCGCATCCAATCGCATCCAACAAATCATCAATCCGGGGGAGGGGATACACATCTTTGATCATGATCTCATTCAGTTTGTGATAATCAATGCAAATGCGAATCGCTCTRTTTTTCTTGGGTACTAACACTACGGGAAAYGACCAAGGTCCGGTGGYGGGTTCAATCCAGCCGCTGGCTTCGAACTCCCGAATTCGTTCGAGAGCCTTTTTGCGTTCAATCAAGGAATACCGGTAAGGTTTGCAATGAATCGGGGAGTGATTTCCTGTCTGAATTTCATGTTGGATTACTAACGACAAACCAATGTCAGTATCTGCCACACTAATTGCTCCTTGATATTCCGTTAGAATGTCCGCAATCACCCGGTGGATTTCATCCGGTACGTACTGTGGAACGTGTAGTTCAAAAAGTTTATCCCCGATCCGAACGTCAAGCTGTTTCGTGCGCGTCTGTTTTGCCACGTCGGGCGGAGGCGCCGAGATGAACGAATGGTCCGATCGCCAGGAGAACACCGTGGCCATCATTTGGGCATCTTCTTCCCGGATTGCCACGTGTCCTTCAGGGGTAATCCCGTCACAAACATCCTGCCATGGCACGTCCTTAGTTGCGATCTTTATCCYCATTCCGTCTGTTTCTGCCTCGAAACGTCCAGGGGATTCCAGAGATCTTGCGTCCGCCCCCAAGAGTAACAATCTCACTTCTTTGGCAAATGTCAATAAAGACTTGGGTAATTCCGTAATGTCGCAATAATGTTTTTTGTCGCTATACCTCGCGAGAAGAGGGGTGATTCCTTCGTACAGAGTTTGAGGGGGYTCCAARGAGTCGACCATCCTCTAAATCTGCACGAGGGGCTCACCCAAGATCATCGTCTTGGTCCTTTGAATTTTTCGGCTGGTCAGTTGCATCGTTCTCGCTATCGTTTTGGGCCGCGGGTAGTAAACGCGTTRTCGTACCAATTTCAAGATCTCCGGATCATCGTCGTCACTGCTTTCCGCATCATTCGTTGCTGACTTTCCCTCTGCGGATTCATCCCARGAGATCATGCGRAGAGTYCCTGCCATCATCGGCGAAACCYGCGGGACCKCGTTAATAGTCGTGCGAAGGGTCAATCGCATGGGCAMAGCGTAGGGTTTTCCTCCTGTATGGGGGACGATYGATCGTCGCTCGAAATCCAGGTTCKMCCGTAACGCCACAAGAGYGGGAAGTCCGAAAAGAACGTCGTACGTATTAACATCTAGTACTACTACATCCCCAAGCGTGTGTACTTTTCCTAATCGGAAATCGACATTGGTCATTCTTCCCACAATTTTGATTTTTTCCTCATCTGCCGAAACGAGCTGATCTTTCTCAGTGAGCATGATCAGATCGTTTTTCCTACCTGCCCTTTCGACCACTCTTAGTGAAATAGCCGACACAACTGCTCCCGAATCTATAATTGCGTTGTAGGGAATTCCCCAAATTTCAATATCACATTCTGCGGATTTCCACAGAATTGGTTTAATCCGTCAGAAATGATCATCTTTCTGAATTAAACCTACCCGTATCAGATCCGAAGTGCATGTAGGGTTTTCTTTTGGCGAGGGGCCTTTGGCTTTTACGTTCGGTGTTCGGGCGAAGGCGAATCGTTTTCGGTTTGCCTTGCAATGCTGTAGCATTCGCTCATTGGCTTGCTCGGAGATCGAGAGTAGATAACCGATCGGAAGTGGAATCCGATGGTCCAAAGCTCGGATGATGTGTAACACATCGATTTCTCCCGTGACGAAGGTGGGTCCTCCCGACTCCATTTCTCCTAGGGACGGTCGCTACTCCGCCACCTCTTTCAGTTCTGGCGCTAGTCTGATTGTTCCGATCATTCCAAGCCCCGGATATCCTAGCGATACGTACTGATTTTGCGGGATTAGCTCGGCGGCCTCTTCCGTGGTGGCCAAGGCACTTCCCCCGCCCTCTACATCTTCCATCAAGGCTCCGACTCGTCCAGGCCCGTTAGCGATGGGGGCCGCAGCCATGGGTGAGACCCCGATCCACTGTTGCGGGGGTCGGTGGGGACAGTCTCGGGCCAAATGCCCTGGTTGATGGCATGAATAACATACATTTAGATTATTTGCGACTCCTCCAAGCGCAGGTGCCGGGGCTAATCCTTGCTGCATCGGAGGGGCGCGTACCGCAATGGGCCGCATGTTCCTCATCATGGCTTCCARCCGAGCATTGTGCTCTCGCTGCTCCTTTTTGCTTTCCTGGATCAAACTAATCAAGGTTTTGGTTAGTTCAAAAATGACCGCTGATTCGTTCGTTCGTACGGGAGCCTCAACTGGTGGCGGGGGTAACGCCCTTACGGGTGGAGGCATCATAGGAGCRGAAGTGCTCRGAACCTCACTTAGGACCACTCGCTTGGGGCCGATCTGTTCCATATAGGTGACAGGTCCTGATACAAACCCCATGTTTTCAAACTTGTTCTGCAAGGCAGCCAACTCAGCTCTCGCCCGTGCGAGTTCGGTTGAATCTCCTTCTCTAGAATAGTCTTCTCCTTCCAGGAAGTTCGCCGCGAACTTCCGTTCCGTTTCTTCTATAGCAGCCATGATTTGTTGTAGCGTGTGAGTGATGGGGGAAAATTGCTTCCGCAACTTAGCCCTTATCGTTCGGCTGCGAAGACCGTCAATGAATAGATCTCTCCCTACTTGTTCACCTCGCTCAGTTTTTACGAACATTCTGTAGAACCGGTTTCGATATTCTGCAACGGATTCGAGAGGTTTTTGCACTCGGTCCTTTATCATATACAACGCTTGCTCGGGGTGAACGTAGTCAAATCGGTTCATGAAATCCCGTTCAAAGGTTGGGAGGTCAACCCACACATAGGTACTAAACCAATGATGAGCGNCTTGCTCGGGGTGAACGTAGTCAAATCGGTTCATGAAATCCCGTTCAAAGGTTGGGAGGTCAACCCACACATAGGTACTAAACCAATGATGAGCGCCCTACTGCAGCCCGACTATGGCTGCCAGCGCCCTCGTCCCCGACAGCGCTTTGGGCGCTTAGCGCCTGGCAGCTCCTCTCAGCCAGAGCACAACCCATGCACGCGCGCTACAATGCAGCAGCGTGTCGGCAATACCCGCATTGGCCCAGTCCCTTCGCAATGCGGTGTTGCTGCGTATATGCCGCTAGCAGCGGGTCAACGGCCTCTCTAGCCTGCGACTGGGCCCCAGTATCTGCGCCCAGGCCCAATGCAGATGGGGCCCAAGAAGTTATCCCTGGGCCGACGTCCAGATTCAGATACGAAACCGTTTTCCCATTCGTTCGCTCGGCCTCTACGACGGCAATGTTGCTTTTCGATTTGCCAGCATCCCATGTCTGATGTGTCGGCCTGTCCTGCTTGTGCCTAGGGCTGAACCACTCGAGGCCCTGAGCTCAAATGCTTCTGCAGGAGTCTGGGCTCACAGAGCACTCCAACCAACTGCCGTGCTGCAACTGTCTGATACCCCCTTTGTGAAACGCTGAATGAAAGGCCTTTTGTGGATATTCTGGGCCACCTGCACTTCGGGCGGGGATGAGGCTTGCTGGGGGCCTTTGCCCGATGCATATGCATGTCGGCTAGGCTTAATTGAGGGCTCAATCCGCACATATATATATATATATATATATATATATATATATATATTGTGCCTCTAGTGCCAGCGGCGTGTCTGG